GCATGCCAGAATACATTACAGCATGCCAGAATACATTACAGCATGTCAAAATACATTACAGCATGTCAAAATACATTACAGCATGTCAGAATACATTACAGCATGTCAGAATACATTACAGCATGTCAGAATGCATTACAGCATGCCAGAATACATTACAGCATGCCAGAATACATTACAGCATGTCAAAATACATTACAGCATGTCAGAATACATTACAGCATGTCAGAATACATTACAGCATGTCAGAATACATTACAGCATGTCAGAATACATTACAGCATGCTATAATACATTATAGCATGTCAGAATACATTACAGCATGTCAGAATGCATTACAGCATGTCAGAATGCATTACAGCATGTCAGAATACATTATAACATGTCACAATACTTGAAATACTGTCATTGTGTATGTATCTGTCCAATATTTTCTAGTGATCAATGTTCAGCTTAAAAACCTTCTCTAAAGTAGTACTCTATATACCGTCAGTTTGCTAATGAGGTTCACTTTTCACATAACCTACACAAATTGAATATAAATGGTATTGCCATGGTTTTGAGTTACTTGTGATTATTTCACACACAACTTAATTCTCCAATAAATTTCGAAATCAAAACTTTGCAGAGTTTAAGTACACATAAGGCATTGGGGTCTTACTGCATTGTTAATGATAACAATGAATAATAATGAATGCTTGAGGGTTTTTATATTTTGACAAACCTTTCCAGAAACCTTTTAAAATGTGACACCATTTACTTATTGCACAAAAAGAATTGTATTGTATGTACACTCTCAGTGGAGTAAAAAAAACAAGTTCTCACAAATGTAATATTACAAATCTCACTTACAATAAAAAATACAATACTACAAGTATAGTACAACAGTTTAAAGTATCAAATACTGCCACCACATACACAGTATAATGGTTTATAGTATCGGATACTGCCACCACATACACAGTATAATGGTTTATAGTATCGGATACTGCCATCACATACACAGTATAATGGTTTATAGTATCGGATACTGCCACCACATACACAGTATAATGGTTTATAGTATCGGATACTGCCACCACATACACAGTATAATGGTTTATAGTATCGGATACTGCCACCACATACACAGTATAATGGTTTATAGTATCAGATACTGCCACCACATACACAGTATAATGGTTTATAGTATCAGATACTGCCACCACATACACAGTATAATGGTTTATAGTATCAGATACTGCCACCACATACACAGTATAATGGTTTATAGTATCAGATACTGCCACCACATACACAGTATAATGGTTTATAGTATCAGATACTGACATCATGGTTACAGAATTTTAATCGTATCATGTGTTTAACAAAATGGAAAAAGTGATAGATATTGTCATTTTTGTCTAATTTCAGCATACCATATATGGTGATGGAGTAGAATACAACACGCCATATATGGTGATGGCGTAGAATACAACAAGCTATATATGGTGATGGAGTAGAATACAACATGCCGCATATGGTGATGTAGAAGAATTACAATGAGCCATATATGGTGATGCATTATTCTACAACAAGCCATATATGGTGATGCAGTAGAATACAACACGCCATATATGGTGATGGAGTAGAATACAACATGCCGCATATGGTGATGTAGAAGAATTACAATGAGCCATATATGGTGATGCATTATTCTACAACAAGCCATATATGATGATGCAATAGACTACAGAATGGACATTTTCACAAAACATACTGAATACTGAAGCACATGTGAATTTAATCAGATTCATCTGTAGGTGTCGGTGTGGCAGTGGTTTTACCATTTTTGAGTTCTTTATAACAAGGTCTGCACACAGATACAGGACTCTGTGAGTAATGACCTGGTAATGGAGTTTGCTTGTCGATACATCTAGTACAAAATACTTCACCACATTTCCAGCAATGGTACTGTGAAAAAAAGAGGAAAGTTCTCTCATAGTCAAGATATATACTGATTAATGCAGCAATATTTAAGCAATAACAACTCTGAAGACTAGGATACTTTGTAATCTCTCAAGGCGGGTACCAGTATACTGTATTAATATATATATGTACTAATCCCAGGCATATGTATATACTGTGGAATACTTTATTTTCGCTGGAATTAATTTTCGCTGAAAATGCTTTTTGGGCGTTTTGCTTGGAATTTATTTTCACTGATTTTTCATGAGTTTAATGTGAAATATAGGAAAAAAAGTATATTCGCTGGATTTTATTTTCACGGAATCATCCCTTCACGAAAATAGCGAAAATAAATTCCAAGCGAAAATAAAGTATTCAACAGTATGAAGTGAATTGCGCAATATCAAATGGTAAACATGACTTTGAGAGGGGTTATTGCTACATGTATTTGACCTGAAATTAAACAAAATTGAAAAACATTGACCCAGATAGTTCAGTATACTGCAATACAGTTATCTAATACAGTCCATGCATTATACATAGTCCATATATAATGTATGGGAAAGTGTGGGAAAAAAAGAAAATTAAAAAAAATATTTAAAAAAAAATTCACAACTTTCACAAAATTAGAGATATATTCACCAAATGAACAAATTAGAAAGAAGACCAGACTATGTGTCTACATTATGAATCTCAAAGCAATCTTGCAGGCAGTTTTGGAGATGCAGTGTGTTAGGTGGGGTGTAAAACATATCAATTGTCAATGTTGTACCTTACAAACAGTGAAGTGTCCAATTAGCTAATTTGGTAGTAATCTTTTAAGCGTAAAAATGTTATAGTTTATACCAAAATTGGAAAGGTTTATTGTCAAAGTTTATTGATAGGGTGAGTAGAATTGAGTTCAGAGTAATAATTGTTTTGATGTGTTTAGACCAAAAATGTCTCAAATCAACCAATTGGCTTGCTGACTCATTAAAGTCAAATGTGTCAACTCAATAGGGTATAATCATACAAACAGTTATACACAGAAATCACAGCGGAGGCTGTACTTACCCTTCTACTGAAATGATCGAACGGTGAAGCACATGAACATTGTCGGACATTTCTTATTGTCTTCCATTCCAAGCCAACTGATTCAAACGCTTGGTTTAACTGATCTTTAGTAACGATGTCTAAATTACTTTTTGCATTTGTCATCATTATCACTTCGTCTTCACTACTAGATTCTATTGCACTGTCAAGGTCACCGCAGTTATCATTTACAATGTTCTTATCATTTAGCTCATCATTCACATCAATTGAATTCTTCTCAGCGTCCAGACTCAAAATTCTTTTCAAACTAACAATTTTCTGAAAATGAAGACCAAGAATTTAAAATTATTTCCATTTTGTCAAAACGATGTTGGTATGCGCAGTAAAATATACCACGTATCAAAACAACAAATAGCATAAATAATTTATTTCATCATAACTTTATCACATTTACATATTAGTGATGGATAATACCACTATTACCGGATTCTGCCGTAAATTCGCCCATCCGAAAAATCGTCCTAGGCAGTTTCACAGCTGGTGGGTCCTTATTGGGAGTTCAAATTTTCAAAGAATTATCATCAAATATTTTTAGGGGGGCTTATATTTTCATTGAAAAATCCACCTACTCCGATTTTCAACGCCGGAAGTTGGACCACCCAAAACGTAAGAAACTATTGAAGAAGCTAATCTAAAATTTTATACATTTCTCTTCCTGCTGGATTAAAAAGTAGACAGCACAATTTTCTCCAAAAAAATTACATTAACGAACCTTGTGCGCCAAATACAATTATTTTGTTTCATTTTATTAGTAACGAAAGTATATTCTAAAAAAAGTTTCAAATAAAAACGAACCCAACTGCATTGCTTAGTAGCAAATGATCGCGGTATCGCAATCTGGCCATGCTGCGTTTTACAACTGTTGAACTGTTATTACCTAGTAATAATTATAATAACGTGCAAAAAATAAATTAGTTGAATTGTTATGAGATGGAAATAAATTTCAAAATATTTCATCGTAAGCAAATGATTCTGATCGCATTTCAGCGCTCGATGCTGTGGAAATGAATATCCGCCATGATTGACCTGAGACAGTGTCCTTTGACCTGACAGGTTAAATCGATAATTAACCAATGAAAACGATGGATGATGCCAACGTGTTCAAAATACCATAGCTCATTTAAATATGTTAATGTTATTAAACGCAGTACGGAAAAGATTTGCCGATGTTGTTGTACGATATTTTGGCTTGGAAAGCAACATGATTTGTTCTTAAATAAAAAAAGTAGTTGCTTTCAAAAGATAAACTCAGCATTTGAGGAATTATTTAACATTATTTACAGCGATAACAGCTCATTGTCGAAACGAAGCTTACCCATTCACGCAAGTCGTAATAAACATCAATACTCTTGAATAGGTGTCAATGACTACCAAGAAACTTTTAGGCATCAGAAAGATTAGAATAACACCTTAAAAAACTGCCGAAAAATCGCCCTGGGCAGTTATTTGGTCCCATTTTATTTTTTTTAAAACCTGAACTGCCGTTTAACGGTCCTGGGCGAATTTACGGCAGAATCCGGTACTACATGGCAATTGTACTGCAGTACACATGTAATAACAATTAATATGCAAATCATGTTTACCTTTTCTAAATATGTAACATGATCTTCTAAGGACGTTGTGTGATCTTTCATTGCACTTAAAACATCTGGTAAAGATTCTCTTGGATGAATGCCATTCTCAAATCTATTATACATACCACGCCAAAATCTACCAATACAAATATCACAGTTACATGTAATTATCATCATTGAACAGTTTTACACTAGCCACATTCATATACATCTCTGCGATGTGTCGAAGAAGGTGTTAATTCTTAAGCTAGCAAAGGGATCAACGTTGTTGCTTTAAGACAGAGGCAACAAAATGAACCTATCCGGCTCAAGCTGAAATCAACAACCTTTTCACAATTATCTCAATGTTTCATGTATTAACTGTTTTTTTGTTTTCAATTAATTAAAACACGTATCACAATATTTTGAAATAATTTGCAGTCTTCAAAATCCATATTAACATTTTACGTAATGCTTGATTCAAAGAGAGTGGTTAAGAAATTTTTGTTTTATAAAAGAACTCTCGAAAGAATCGGCAATAATAAAATTTGTATGGATGGAAACCACAATGCATTTTATTTTATTTTACAATAGAAAAAATTATTTCATCATGTTGTAGAAAAAATACAAAGAATTTTGTAGAAATTATAAAGGCTGTAACAAAATGGAAAAATATAGCATTCTTGAATAATTTGCCATAAAAAGAATCGATAAAATGAAAAGGTACGTCAAATACATATAATATGCTTTGATGAGTCAAGCGTCTCAGCAGACATAACCCGGCATGTGCCAATAACTGTCAAAGTCCAAGAAGCAGAGGTAGATACATGAGCAAGAGTTTGCAGAGAATCATGTTTATATAAAATCACCTGCAGTCTCCACCAAGTTGTATAGTTAATAGACATCCACCAAAGTACACATTAAACACGGCAACAATGCTAGTTCACAAGAAGAAGTAAACAAATTTTTGTTTTCACTGAAAATCAGCACGCTTGTTGCAATTAATGATATTGTTTTAGCGAGAGTTGACAGTTAAATACAAGCAATCACTGATAAGAACAGTTCAGCTATATCATAAGAGCTGACGTAACAGACTTCACAATATTCAAAAAATTCTTTGCTGTTGTAAGTCAGATAGAACTTTTACTATAAAAGACAGATTACTCACTTAAAACATTGTGGACTTGTGTTTGGTATCATAACTCCTTTAGTGACAGAATGGTCTTTTCTGTACAATGGATTGACATAGTCTGTCATTCTGCTTTGTAAATAACCCCATAGTGAGTATGTCTCCTCAGACAATCTGTGTAGAAAATTACAATTAATAAATAACAAATATTCAAAAATATTTACAACTATTACTAGTTTGATATACCGTATTTTGTTCTATTAGAAACGCATGCGATAATGTAAATAACCGAGGTGAGTTGATTGTACCATGATTCCTTCAAAGTTTGAGTTGCATGTAACATAAATGTATAACGTCATCATCATGTAAGTGATGGGAATTAAATTGTCAACCAATCAAAATTCACCTTACTAAAAACAACCTAAATTACTTTAAGCATGTAGTTTGTAACACTGATCCTGATTGATTATTGGTCATTTGAGAGATGATTTCTGTATGTCCATTGCATGATATTGAATTATTACAAGGTGGAAAAGCTAACATAGCTTACATCTACATTTTATTCACAATTTTGATTAGACATCATTGACATCATAATGTAATTTGATACCGTAATGGACAATAGGTGATGACATGCAAGTTTCAGTATTACTTGATATTTTTGTAACATCATGCAATTTGCAAGTACCAGTAGTTGTGAGATAATTACTGATTCTCCCACAACACTGCATTGCAGATAAAAGTTAAACGACTATGAAGAAGCCCACAAATTGCTGCAACGTAAAGAGAGAGAACATCATCACATCATCACACTCGAATGGTCATACACTGTGTTATTCTCTCACCTGTGTTCAAGTCTTTCTTTTTCACAGTTGCCCAAGAAAGTACCAAACTGACAGGAGAATACATGGTCATGCAACGTAAGTAGAAAACGTTCATTAAATTGAAATGCACAGGGGAACTGCTGCGTTAATTGATACACAGCGTCTAAAAACTGAGTAAAGACTGGAGACACTTCCCTTGGGTCGACATCGAGAAAACCACACCTGTAATAAAAACAAAACCCATAGTATATTTTAGTTATGTAAAGTAAAAGGAATATTCAGTGCCATAGTGTCTAAACATCATGACAATAGTAACAAGGTGTTGTGAAATGGCTGAAAATTAAATGGCATTTAATATAATAGTATGATAACAGGTTGTTAAAAAAACAAAATGAAAAAACCCCTCAATTTCATCAATAGAGGGGGTAGTTCATCTAAATTGCAATATACAGGAATACTTTACCTTTCAGTGAACTTGTGTCCAAATGCCAACCATTCTTTTTCTATGAGTGCCTGTCAAATAAAAAAAACATAGTTGAACTCTGGTGACCTTGCCCTTTGTTATATAATATTATTCCCTTTATCATAGTTTGTTTCAATATAAATATGTATTCTCATAATTAATTTTGAATACAAACAAGTTTTATTATTGAAACAGCAGTGGAAAAGCAATCTACCAAATGTCCTTGATTGATGTAAATATCTCACAAAAACATTGGTGCCTAATTGTTTAATTATATTGAGAGACATAATTTCTAGCTTTATTCAAAGTAATTTTAGATATTTTAGTATAAAAACAAATGACTCATCTTAGAAAAACAGTGCAGCATTTAGATGTGAATGGATTCGTAAAACATGCAAAACAACAGATAATCTTAGCTGGTTTTTGCCCAAGTATTTTTTACAGGTCTTTGGGGTTTTTCATATGGTGGCTTCTGCGCATGCGCCAACCAAGCGCCGGTTTATGAAATAAATTATCGTCAGCAGTCCCTGACTGCCCAACCTTGTTCTCTGTCTATCGCTTCTTTGACTTAGCCTAGTTTTGACAGTTCATTTAAGGATGCGGTAGAGTTATCATGCTCTAAATAGTAAAAACTGTTTTCATGAGGAAAAGTGTTTTGAACCATAGTAAATTATATATTTTTTTTGAAGCCCTTGTTCCTGGCTTTTTGAAAAAAATGATCTGTGACATGTACCACGAATTAGTCACGTGATTACTGAGTAAATATAGAGGTGTTATTTTGAATAAAAATGAGTTTTGTATAAAAACCGTAGGGGTTTTGTAAAAAAGAAAGCTGAAAAATCAAGGCAGCATCAGCCCCGTCAATGCCTCGAGAGTATTAGAACATAGATTGCATATTTGTTTACAATGACATCAATTTACATTTTTCCTGTTATTTCACCCATAGACAAGGAATTTAAAAGCCTTTTATTTTTCATTGCGAGAAGTTATCAAAAAATGCTTCAAAGGTTTTATTATGCGCCAATACGTTATCAATGTGTGTGAATTTCATGAAAGTAGGTCAATTTCTGACGACGCACAACTCACTTGAATGACCTCTATGGCGTCAGATTTCTTCTGCCTGAAAACGCCAAAAAACAAAACATTTGTCATGTTGCGCTAATTTTGGACATTTAAAGCATCAGATGGACTGATTTTTACAACAAAACACATAACATGGAGTCACTTAGTAGCCTTGCAGTATTAAAATCCCAAACTATAAAGTTTTGGGTTTGTATTTGTCCTCCAAAAAGAAGCAAAGTTGTTACAGTACACTTCCATATGGGGTTTTTCATATGGTGGCTTCTGTGCATGCGCCAACTAAGCGCCGGTTTATGAAATAAATTATCGTCAGCAGTCCCTGACTGCCCAACCTTATTCTCTGTCTATCGCTTCTTTGACTTAGCCTAGTTTTGACAGTTCATTTAATGAGACAAATACGAACTACTAGTACCTCATTATATTCATTGTGTGACTACTGTATTATTTGAAAAGGAAAAAATGCCCTCTAGAAATAACGATCATGTTGTAAGCTCTGTATGCAAATCAACTTCAGTCTTAAAGTATGGACCATGTATCTAAAAATAGTTAGTTGGTGTCCAGTGAAGAGAGAAGTCAACAGCACTGTTGCCTCCTGAGAATCTACATCTTCAAACACTGCAATCTTTGAAGTGCATTTTTAAATTTGTATTATAAAAGAAATACCTCTGTAATTTACGTATACACTACTAATAGAGTAAATACAGTAGCACTATTTTGTACGAACATTGAGAGCGTCCATTATATCGTAATATACAGAAAATTATACTGTTCTTGGTAATTATTCAATATTACCAGATGTTTAGGGCAACTGCTCTACTTCAATGGTGCTTTTAATGGATTTTTCAGTATTCATTTTTTTTATCAGTGTTCTTAAACGCAACTGATGTTTTCTATTTTCTCCATTATTTTCTGTCTAGAAATATAATAATATAAGGTTATTACGAAGATACTTCAAAGTATGCACAAAGACAGTACAGCGGCAGTATCGATCGACGCACAGCAGAGGTTGAAGCGATAGCGTACTGTCTGAGTACATACTGTGAGGTATCTTCGTAATAACCTTATTATTATACATCTTTTCCTACCAAGGATACATCATGGGAATGCCGAAATACAACATGTTTAGAACAGAATCAGCGGACTTCTTTGTATGGAGTCCGGTAAAACCCTGGTGGCAGCCATGTTTGTTTTTATTATTAGAGGATACTAGCGTGCGTAATCATTCCATATTTGGAATTTGCATTTCCTAATATGGTAGGATGAAATTATCCTGTAAAATACCACGTGAATTTGGTTAAAATAGTTTCAGCTAAAACAACATTTTGGTGAGTAGCAATTGTAGGGTCTATGGTACAGGTACAAACTTTTCAAAAACACAAATATCCACTCTTGAACGGAAATATTGTAAGGTGAAAATAGCCGATATTGTTGAATCACCTGTAAAAACATCACTAATCAATCTGCATGTTTACTTGTCAGCTATTAATAAAATTAATGAGGGCAATTTCATTAATATTTCAACTTACTGTGAGATATATAAATATGCATACTAGCATTAAATAAAATGACATACTGTAAAACACTCATTTGTACATTTGGGGGATGTACTTTC